CCTGCCAGCTGTTTCTCTCCTTTATTTCTCTTCTTCTCTCTTCTCCATCCTCGTTCCTTCTGCGCAACTACATCAATGGGAAAAGTTACCGGAGCCGTAATTCGATTTGAAAGCGATTCCTCCAACCGAATCGGTACATCGCGCAAAATGGAGCCGAACTTTACCGGACCGTCGATTGTTTCATAGGCCGGCCATCGTTGAAACGACGGTTATGACCGTTAACGAGGCCATGGAAAAAAGCGCCGAATTATTTCTTTCAATGGCCGCTTTGCAGCTACCACTTTCCACCGGCTAATAACGTTCTCGCGGTTTTCAACTTCGGGATATTTTTTCCATCGCTGTTCCTCTATCCTCTGCCGAAAATAAATTTCAATGACTGGTATTCCAGAATGCGAGTGCATCGATGCTATTAATTCTGCTGCTCTGTTGCAGCAGAAATCTGCTTCAAGTGGCTGATATCGGTGATAATTACTTGGATTTTTCGCGCACGAGTTGCTCACGATAACGCCACTCGATTTGTGTCGCTCCTATACAGGCGAGCTATGCACCAATGGATCCAAATACTGGAAGAATTATTGATTTCATATATCAATTTGTCCTTGTTCCGGTTACCGTCACTTGCAGCTTAATTTAAATCGCGCTCGGTCTTCCGAGTTTCCCTGATTTCTGTTCTTCCATTCCTTCATAATGTTTCATCCATTAGCGTGGACGGCGGAACGATCGAATGTATGCAAGAATCTTGAAACGTTTAAGGAATTGATTGGAGTTTACTCAAGACAGATTGATTTAAGGCTGTCGGTAAAAGAAGTACGAGTTTCCTTTCGCCAAGTCGAATCTGAAATCTTACTTCGAAAGATCGGGTTTCTTTAAATAAGAAGGAAAAGGTAGAGGTTTGTAAGATTTAATATTTCCACGGGCAACGGTTACTTTGATTTCAAGCAGTTTACTCTTGACTATTTTTTAAGGATATTTTTCTAGCAAAGTTAAGGGGATTTAGTTACGTTCTGCGCGACGTTACAAAGACTGCAAAGCGAGATCACAGCAAATCTAACGCCATCTGTTTGTTGCACCCTTTCGCATTTGCTCTTCACTCGTTATGTCACTTGAGAACCGTGCGCATTGAGTTACAGTTAACTTTAAGTTTCTCGAAACTTGGCGTCCCAAAACTTCTGCGAAACCATCAAACGGACGCTTGCTATAGGTGGTCCAGGAGGAGCATTTCCCTCGAAAGAAACGCAAAGGCTGAAAGTGCGTCTATTCTCTTCCCCTCTGGTCCACTTTTTCTTCCACCTCCAATTCCGGTGAGTCGAAGTTGTGCAGTTTCTTCAACCGGAATATGTGGATTCGAGAGAAAGGAACGTACAAATGCGGACGTTTTTATCGCGTACGAGTTTTTTTCGCGCAATTCAATTATACTCTTAATGCAAGGTCTGTGTTTCGTTTCTCTGTCGACGCCAGGATGCTTTCGAATTTCCGAAAAAGAAATACAACGCGGGCGTGTTGTACAATGTACGATTGTTTGACGACCGGATTCTCCGGCGCGAAGAAAAGCAGATTTCGAGTATTACCGGTGAAACTTGAACAATAATGTCATAACGCATCCCTTAACCCGATGACCCTCTCGACATCAATTCCCGTGGCCGAGTGCTGTGGCGAAATTGCATCGCGCCGTCGCCACCGCGGGCGCGCGC